TCTTGGTTTCTTTACATTATTCTGTTCTGAAAAATCCTCCATAGTTTATTCTCCACCATTCCATTCTCTTTTTCTGAAATTCCAGGTAGTTTGGATCTTATTCCTCTGAGCAGTTTCACTTGACCTTTATTTCATATGTTTGTGTAATACAGTGTATGCATTTTTTTTCTCTTCTAACTCACTTATTCTTTCTTATTCAGTGACCAGTCTACTGTCTATCCTGTTCATTGAGCATGTATTATGTATGTATGTATTTCTGTGATACAGAGGGACTGGAAGAAGGGTCACATTAGATAGTGTGGTCATAGAAGGTCTCTGAGGAGGTGACATTTGAACAGAGACTAAAGGTTGAGAAGGGCAAAATGTCAGGTCAGGGGAAAACATTCTAGGCAGAAGAAAGAGCAAGTGTGAATGCCCTGAGACAGACAAGTCTTGCCAAGTTCTAGCAACTACAAGGAATAGGTAAGGAGAGACCAAGATGAGGTGGGAGAAAGAGTATGAGGTAAAAAAAATGCAGGGTTTTAGCAGCTGTAGTGGAGAGTTTGCATCTATATTAAGGGTGAGGGGAGGCTCTTCAAGGGTTTAATGCACTTTGAAATAGTGCTATCTAATTTGTGGCTTTTAAAATAATTTTTAGAGAGAGATAATTGACATAAAACTTCATTTTAGTTTCAAATGTTCAGCATAATGCTTTAATATTTGTATATATTGTGAAATGATCACCACAATAAGTCTAGTTGCCATCTGTTACCATATAGAGTTACAAAATTTTTTTCTTGTGATGAGAAATTTTAAGATTTACCCTCTTGGCAACTTCCAAATATGCAACATGGTATTATTAACTACAGTCACCATGCTGTACATGACACCCCCATGACTTATTTTATAACTGGAAGTTTGTACCTTTTGACCCCCTTTACCCATTTCACCGCCCCCCCCAACCCCCTACCTGTGACAACCACTAATCTGTTCTCTGTATCTATGAGCTTGTTTTGTTTTAGTTTTTAGATTCCACATATAAGTGAGATCATATGGTATTTGTCTTTCTCTGACTTATTTCATTTAGCATTTCAAGGTCCATCCATGTTGTCACAAATGGTAGAATTCCTTCTTTTTTGTGGCTGAATTATATTCCATTGCATATGTACATCACATTTTCTTTTTCTTTTCAGCCATCAACAACTTCAGTTGTTTCCATACCTTGACTATTGTAAATAATGCTGCAGTGATTTTCATTTTCTTCAGATAAATACCTAGAAGTAGAATTGCTGGATCATATGGTAGTGGTATCTTTAATTTTTTGAGGAACCTCCATACTGCTTTCCACAGTGGCTGCACCAGTTTACATTCCCACCAGTAGTGCATGAGAGTTGCCTTTCTTTCACATCTTAGCCAATACTTGTTATTTCTAGTCTTGTTAATAGCCATTCTAACAGGTGTGAGGTGTCTTCTCCTTGTGGTTCTGATTTGTATGATGATTAGTGACATGAACATCTTTTCATGTACCTGTTGGCCATCTGTATGTTAAACCAGGATATTTAAAAAATTTTTGCTTATGTTTATTTATTTGGGGGGGGAGGGGCAGAGAGAGAGGGAGAGACAGAATCCAAAGCAGGCTCCAGGTTCTGAGCTGTCAGCACAGAGCCTCACGTGGGGCTCGAACCCATGAAACACGAGATCATGACCTGAGCCTAACAACCAACTGAGCCACCCAGGCACCCTGAACTGGGATATTTTTGTGAGAGGATCTACCTCTCACCAAGATGTTGTCATAGATGTGATGGGGAGGAGGGTACAGAGAACAAGTCTAAAATTCCATAGAAAACTGTCTCTGAACCAGGAATATATGGTGCAGTACTTTTATACCTGAAACTGATCTGGCCACAGGTATTACAGGGAGAGCAGTGTTAGGGAGACAGATGCTTGGTTACTTGAATCTCTGTAGCATTACGGAAAAGCTGCCTTACTCAGACTGGGAAGACAGTGAATATACCTCTGAGGAAAGGGCATTTGGGTGGAGATTTTAAGAACAGTAGGAGATAACTGAGGTGCAGGTAGCCTTAGCGTTCCAGGTGGAACAGCCTATGCTAAAGTTATGAGGCCAAAGGGAATGTGATGCATTCGAGAAGCTATAATATCTCCAGTGTGGCTGAAGGCAATGCAGGGAGTGCGGAGATGAGACTGGAGAGGCAGGCAGAAACCACATTGTGAAGAAAATTTTAGGTCATGTTAAGGATTTTTCTTTTATCTAAAAGTGGTGGAAGAAATCACTAAAAGTGTTTTAGGAGGCATGATCAGATTGATTTATATTTCAGAAAGATTACTCTGGCTGCATGCGCAAAATGGATCTCACCAAGTTCCTTCTTTTATTTAGTCTTTTAGAAAAATCAAGTGTCATTAACGGCTTTTATAAGCAAGCAGCTGTTTCTAAAATTCAAGGCATGTAAATTGAAAACTTACAGTATATCCAGTGAAAATATTTAAAGATACTTCAAACACTGCTAAATTTTAACAGAATAGCACCACCTTAAAGAAACATTGCTCTAATGATGTATTTGATAATTTTTGATGTAGCATATACCTTTTAAAAAGATCAAAACTAGGGCATCTGGGTGGCTCAGTCAGTTAAGCATCCAACTTCTGCTCAGGTCATGATCTCACATGAGTTCACCAGGATATCTGTTGTCAGTGCAGAGCCTGCTTCGGTTCCTGTCTCCCTCTCTCTCTGTCCCTCCCCAGCTTGTGCTTTCTCTCTGTCTCAAAAATAAATAAAAGCATCAAAAAATATTTTTAAAGATCAAAGCTAATTCATGATAATTTAAAAAAACTGCTTTCATGAATGTAAGAGACTATATTTGATTTAAAAAAATGATGATTCTTATCACTTAAAGCAAATCAACTCACATGATATCTGGCAGTGGTTCTTGAACTGTCCAGACATTAGAATCACCTGGACAGCTTTTGAAATACACTGATGCCCAGAACTCGCTTGTTATTTTAGTTTACTGCATCTGGGAGTAGAGTCTGAGCACTGTGATATTTTTAAAAAGCATTCAAGGGAATTTTAATAAGCATCCACAGTTGACAACCATTTTAGTAAAATTTATAGAACCCAGATGTCAAATCTATTTTTATTTTTTATTTTTTTAAATGTTTATTTATTTCTGAGACAGAGAGAGACAGAGCATGAATGGGGGAGGGGCAGAGAGAGAGGGAGACACAGAATCCTATGCAGGCTCCAGGCTCTGAGCTGTCAGCACAGAGTGCGACGCGGGGCTTGAACTCACAGACCGTGAGATCATGACCTGAGCCGAGGTCAGACGCTCAACTGACTGAGCCACCCAAGCACCCCAAATCTCTTCTTTAAAAAAAATTTTTTTTAAGTTTATTTATTTTGAGATAGAGCAAGCGGGGTAGGGGCAGAGGCAGAGGGGAGAGACAGAGAATCCCAAGCAGGCTTCAGATTGTCAGTGAAGAGTGTGGGGCTCGAACTCATCAACTGTGAGATCATGACCTAAGCCAAGATCAAGAGTCAGATGCTTAACTGACTGAGCCATCCAGGTGCCCCTCAAATCTCTTCTTGGCCACAAAGTGGATCAGTCACTTTTCTGAAATGTAAGTTCAAAAAAATTTGAATTTTAAAAATGACTGGGGCAAAGAAATGTGGCCAGAGTGATGGTTTGATATTGGTTTAGAAATATTAGGTTATTTGTTATTTCTATATTTCATGAGCCCATGATGTTTGAACATTGGCTGAGTTTTCTTGGTTACAAGCTAAGGAGGAGTCTTATTTTACTTGTCTTCAGTGTATAATTAACACTCCTTTCCTCTTTCAAATTTAAAATTTGTCAATGTCAGTCTGAAAAATGGGAAAATTGTTTTAACATTCATTCTGCTTAGATACAATAATAAGAAACAAAAACAAACTTCCCAAGGTACAAATACCCGAACTGTCTTTCAGTTAGTTATCTTGTGGTGAGTTAGCCCTATAGAAAGTTCACATGTGGGGTGTGCCTTCTATGTAAGAATGTGCCTTCTATGTGCCTTCTATGTAAGACCTTTTGCTTAAGCTTAGTGATAGCCAGCACAGTATAAATGAAATTGGGGGAAGGATGAAGAAACAGCATATGAGAAATGAAGATAATAAGTGAAAAAAATTTGCAGAATTTTATTTATTTATAAATGTTTATTTACTTTTGAGAGAGAGAGACAGCGCACATGAGTGAGCAGGGGACAGGCAGAGAGACAGACACAGAATTCGAACAGGCTCCAGGCTCTGAGCTGTCAGCAC